TTGACCTTTCTCCTCAAATCCCTCATCGGTAAAATGGGGATATAAAGCAGATCTTATAGGACTGTTGACAATAAAAGAATAAAATATTTGTCTGTGCTATGTAAACTGTAACATACCATTCAAATGAGAGTTGTTGTTATTAATAACAATAAGGACAGAAAGATTAGGCCAATACTAAGATCTCCTATCTTGAACAGAGATGTTTTTTACTCTATGCAAAGGAAAGGAAAACCCTTTGTAAGCTGTAAAGCACTGTGAACCGCAAAAGAATTGTTAGGAGGGCTGAGGTTAGTGATGGGATCCATCATGGGCGGGAGCATGGCTGGCCAAGGTGGGCAGTGGCACTCTATCTCCCTGACGCATTCCTATAAAAGTGTTTGAGAATGGCCAAATAACCTTGGCTGTCCTCTGGCCACTGAGCCGGCAACTCTCCTGAAGGCCTTCCATAGGCAGATGTCCTACCAGGGAAACGGGAACCAGATGTACTCAAGATCTCAAAAGACATTAACGGCAATAGGCTCTGGGGTAAAAATATCTGTGTGCACTGAGCTTTGCTCACTCAGCTCCCTTTCTATCTAAGGATCATTTAGGCTTAATTATAGAGTTCAGGCGTTCATTGGGTTTTTGATTAATTTTCTTTTCAGCTTGAAGAGTGTGTGAGTGTAGTGGGTCTGTGCGTGTGTGTGTTTACATCTTTCTTTGCAACTCAGTTGGGAGCTGGCTCTGGCAATGTTTAATTGTGCCCTCAGTTCTAACAAGAGCATTCAGTGTGCCAACCGGAGCTCGGAAAGCCATTGTTCCCACTGCCTCCGCCCCAAGGGCTGCTATTGCCGTGTTGAGGGATGGCCAGTGGCAGCGCCTTGCTCAGCTGGGACCTTAGCTGCGGGATGCATGCTTTCCTCCTCCTTTTGTGCTTATGGTGTTTAAGGGATTCTGCGACCAGGAGCGCAGATTTCCTACTCTGCTAATTACCAGTACTGTGCTAAGAGCTGCCGAGTGACAGCCAGCTCACCCACACTGCAGTCCCTGACAGGCATTTTGCTGGGCCAATCTCCCTGGGGATTACAAGACCCTCTGCATAAGAAAACAGTGGTTTGTTCTCTTATTTTTAACATGTCCACTTAGCAGATTGGTAGGGACTCCATGACTGTGTAGGTGAAAGTGGCTTGCTTTCTCCTTTCCTTCCTTCTCTTTTGTGCCCTCTAGGCAGGGAACAACTGGGGAGGCAGCACTGTATAGTGTAATTGCATGGGATTTGGAGCCCAAAGGCCCAGTTTAAAGCCTGGCTCCTGACATTTTCTGTTTTTGTGCCTATGGATAAGTCAATTAACCCCTTTGGATCTCAATTTATTGTCTGTAAAATGGGAATAATAACAATAATATCAACAACAATATTACACTGCTCATAAGGCTGGGGATGAGAAAATGCATGTGGAAGCCTTTTGTAAAATACTCTACAAATCATAGTTATTTTACTGTTCAGAATTGCTGCCTAGAACATGATTTTGACCTATGAGATATCATTTCTAGTACTGGGGGAGAGGGAGCTGTAAAAAGGCTCATGGAATGGGAGGTGGAGAGGGGACTAGTCTCCAACCTTCCCTGTGCTGTAGACCAAAGCAATGGCCTGGGAACGTACAGTGCATGCTGCAAAAGCCCCAGAGTAAGAGTTCAATCTCAAAACAGCTGTCACAGATAAAAGGGAATCTGGAACATTCCTTTTTTGACAAGGATTTCCCCTATTCTTTAAAGGATGGATTCAATTGTCTCTAGTGCTAAGAGGGTGAATGGCTCAGGTCTGGCGACCATGTTTTTGCTGGAGACAAAGAGAGGACTGTGGGTCTCAGGTAAGTGTGACTGCTGTGACATGAGATTTGGGAAACCCAGGGTCTTCTCTTGGCTCTGCTGCTAATTGGGTTTGTGACCCTGAACAGATGAACTAATTTAACTGGACCTCAATTTCCTTGAGATTGTGGAATAAAAGACCTCAAAGGTGACTAAAGAATCTATGACCCAACGAAATGCTCCTTTCCATGCAGGAATTAAAAGCTCTTGTGTCACCAAGAAACCATTGTGTGCATGTGTGTTTAGAATCCAAATATAGTCCTAAAACCACCCAAATAAAACCTAATCAAGGCACTGAATGAGCCCCTTTAAACTGATGCCATCTGGTAAAAGACCCAGAGACTGTCAGGGGAAGAAAGGCCTGATGGGAGGATGGAGGTGACCCCAACAGAGATTTCAAGGTGAATTCCCTCTTGTTGGAGAGCCTTTCATTTGGAAATATCCTGACCAAGCTGAGAGGTAAGGATCTAAGGATCACAGAAACAAAAGGGATCTTTTCCTTATAAAACAACCAGAACTTTAAAATAATCATGCAATGGAGCATTCTGCCAGGCTGATTTCAGAATTGAGAGATCCAACTGTGGAGTTCACAATAGTATCACTGACAATCATCATAAGGGATATCTGCACAGTACTTTTAACTTTTATAAGCACTTTCCCATCTATTTTTCTCATTACATAATTTTCCAGAAAACTGGCCTGGGGTCACGTCTTTTAAAACTCTGAAAAGTGTGAGTTTTCAGCGAGAACAAATCCAACTAAGTCTGCTGCGCCTTGTTTCACACATACAGATATGCCCGTGAAAATATTACGCTATATGTAAATATAATGATAGACGTCATAGTTATTTTAATGGGCTAGGGAGATCTGAAAACAGAAATCTTGTATAGGATTTTGTAATGTAAATAATTCTTTTTCATTAATCTGCTGTTATACTTTTGGATTTTTAAACATCAGGTTTTCTTAGAGTGGGGCCACATGGATTAGATTCCAGGATCAGTAGCCACTCTCCAGAATCTCGTAAGGGTGGCATCTAATTCAATCAGAGGGAGAGACTGCTGTTCCTGATGTCAGTGTGGAAAATAAGCAGCTTCATATGTAAGCCGGGAGCTCTTTGGGGCTACCTCTCCCATAAGAAACAAGGAAGCATGGAAAGGGACAGAGGAATCCAAATATAACAGCTGAATTATTTCTAAATGGAATGTCTCCAGGTCTTCTATGAGTCACTGATGTGTCATTAATGTGCTGTTATAAATAGCTCAGCTTGCCATCAATAACTAATCTATAATAGAGTAGCTGGTGGTTGGGGTGTGAGGTTAACACTACATTTGGAGTGAATTTGTTAACCCTCTCATGTAAAAAAAAAAAAAGCATCGTCCCCTGGGACTAGAGCCTGGAAGAAATTAGGCTAAATTGCATTTTTAATAAAAGTTATAAACAAGTCCTCCCAATTTTCTTTCTCCATCCTCAAACTCTGGTAGAAGACAAGCCTTTGGAGCCAATCATGGGACTATAATTGTTCTGAACCTCAACTCTCTCACCTCTGAAATTAGACAGGCAGTATCCATCCATAAAATCCACAGAGTTTTATAATTATTTTGCATGGGGAATTTATTTATTTATTTATTTATTTTTTGTGAGGAAGATTGGCCCTGAGCTAACATCCTCCTCTTTTTGCTGAGGAAGACTGGCCCTGGGCTAACACCCGTGCCCATCTTCTTCCACTTTATATGGGACGCCAACACAGCATGGCTTGCCAAACGGTGCGTCAGTGCGGGCCTGGGATCCGAACTGGCGAACCCGGGCCGCCGTAGCGGAGCGCGCACTTAACCGCTCGTGCCAGTGGGCCGGCCCCTGCACGGGGCATTTTGAACAAGGATCTCTTTCTCTCTCTCTCTTTATATATATGGATCACAATTTGCACTACTGAGAATAAAGGAAAAGCTCTTTTTTGGGTCATTTAAACTAGAAAAATTCATCTTGCAGAGACTGAAAACTTTAAAAAGTTTTAAATTGCCCTGACTAAAGAAAATATAGTCTCTCACCTTTATTGGTTGGACTTCAGCAATAAAGTCTCTCTTAATGTGAGTGGCTCAGATTTTCATTAAAGAGCTCTGAAGTTAAGCTTTATGGAGCACTTTCTCACAAATGTTCAAGCAGTTAAAGTTGAGCTTCTGTGAAATCCAGCTAAAATAAACATATATAGATACACACTGTATGTACTGTGTATGCATAAAGGCTACAAGTACATATGCAGATCCTGCTGGCAGATCTGCTAGTAATTATGCCATATGCATCCTGACATGCATGCTTGCATGTGTGCCTGTACAGGTGTGCCCATGCATACAAGTGTGTGTTCCAATCATTCAGAAACCAAAAAAAAACCCCAAAGAATGAAAATTCTATTCTTATTTGTTGAGATGTTTTTGAAACTCTTCATGAATTCATGGCTTATTTATCTTTTTGTAAATTTAGGGCTGGTAACCAGAGCAGAATAAGCAGCTGTAAACAAAATCACAATTCAAGTTTCACTAAAAACATAGTGAAGGGCCCAAACATCATAGCTACTGCAGAATACAAGAACTATCTATCTAAATACTGTGATTGAGGATACTCTGAATAATCAATTTTTGGAAAGAGGTGGGTAGATGGAACCATTGAGAGTTACCATTGGTTAGTTCACATCAGCACCTCGGACAGTTCCTGGGGGGGTGTTTTTTTTTGTTTTTTTTTCCCCCCCCTCAGAAGGGAGCCCAATACCAGCTTATCTCCAGCTTTCTAAGTGTTTCCTTCATTCCAGTGAGTGTGTTGACAATCTGATGATCAACTAATAAATGCACAGGTATTAATTTGTAATAACAACTTATTTCTTCCTCTCCCATCGCCCATTCTCTTCACCACCTGACCTCCATTCCACCCCTCTCCCTAGCACCCTCCAGTCAGACAGTAGAACTGTCTGTCTTACAAACACCTGGTATGGATGTTTTCACGCCCACTTCTAATTGGTTGGGAAGCAGCATTTGCCACAGGCACTGTTTAACTTCGTTTCCATCCCCTGCATCTCACAGGAAAGAAATGGTCAATAGTTCATATAAAAGAATCATCCTGGTCAGCTCCAAAATATGGCTACTTGCATGGTAATCACAGCAAGTCTGTCAAATCAGTGATTTCTTTATTCCTAAAAGAAAGAACTTTTCCTAAGGATTATGGTTCTACCGCCCAAGGAGCAGGCCTACTCTTCACAAGTGGCTGCATAGGCTGGCAAACCAAGAGGTCTGCTTTGGCTCAGAAACTCAGTTTGGCTCTTGCCACTCCTGGCAACCTCACTGCATGTCTCAGCGGTATGTGCTCCACACACAGTCAGGCCAGTCTGCTTTTACTTAGGAGGGATCACAACCAGAGGTGGCCCCCGCTTGGGCCTCCACATGAGGACCTGGGCATCATTGGCATTGGGCTTCACTAGTGCGTTGGGGGGGATGGGTTCCATCCGGCTCAGGATCCGGGGCTGCTCCTGCTGAGTCCTGCCCACCAGCCGGGCCCGTTGCCCCAAGAGCTGAAGAGGGTCCACCTCAATGTCCACCCTCATCCTCCACTTGATGGTCTGTAAAATGATCTTCTCTTTTGTGGTGGTGTTCATGGCCACCAGCCAGGTAGTGAAACTTTGGTCCCTCTTGATCCTTGTGAGCAATGGCACATTGCTGTCACTCACTGGGACTGCCCACGTCACACTGGGGTAGAAGTTGTCATTCATGCTGACGGAGAACCTGGAGATCTTGTTGGTGGGGCCAACCAGGGTCACAGTCTCTGTGGTGTTCCCGTACCAAGGGTAGCTCACACCATCTGAGTCACTGATGGCTTTTACTCTCCCTTCCCTCAAGTCAGGCAGTTCCCAGCTTGACCTGGCAAAGCAGAAGAGATGCACAAGAAAAGAAGAGGCTCAATAAATTTTTCAAAAGCTGGAGAGGTGCCCACCACTTACTAACACAGTCAACTTGGGCAAAATGAGAAGTTCAGAGGGGGACTCAACAAAAAGTTCTATGCTGCGCTGTTTCAGGATTAAGTGGGAACAAATCAAAACAAAACAAAAATAAAAAAGCAATACCAAAACAAGTGACATAAAGCCATAGCTGGTCCAGCTGGACTCAGGAAGCTCAAAGAGGCATCTGTGAGACCCACTAAGAGGCAACAACTAGCTGGGATGGTGCAACGGTAATCAACTGTGTAGAGGCATTCCATTGCAAGAACCGCTTTCTTGGCAAGTATGAATAAAGTTTGTTTATTAGGAAGAGGTGGTGGTTGAAATTTGATGTACTTGGAGGTATCAGGTGGAAAGGAGGGCAAAAGGAGTCAAAGTTAAAGGTCACACTAATTTCCTAGGAAATCACAGTAGTAGAATTTTTACTCAATGAAAAGGGATGTTGAAATTTCAGCCATTGGCTAATCTAGCACTTTGAAAACATAGACATAGAAACTGATAACAAAAGGACATAATGGTCACCTTCTGGAAACCACCTCAATGTGAAAGTTGTGCTGTAGGCTGGCACACACAGTCTCTAATATGCTGGTTTCCCACTGGCTTCAAGTACATCCTGGAAGTCTAATTGCTTAGTTTAACAAACTTGCCATTCTGGGCACCTTCCTACTCCTCCTGGCTGTCCCCGACCTTGTATAAAAGGAGAAAGGAAGACATGTACCCCAGTCTTAGCCCATGCCTTTCCCCCTTGCCATGGACTGCTCATCATCATCATCATTATTATCACCATCATAGCTGATACTTACTGAGCGCTTACTCTATTCCAACCACTGTGCCAAACTATGTTATCTCAGTTAATGCTCAACATATTCCACAAGATAAATGAAGTTTTACTTCCATTTTACACATGAGAGGATGGAGGCTTAAAGATGTTAAGGTATATGCCAAGGGTTCTATAGATTGTAAGAGGTGGAGCTGGGAGTTGTCTGATTCCAAAGCCTATGCTTGTGACCACTATACCATACTGTCTCCTGAAGTGCCCTTCCACGATGCTGGAGGAAATCAGAGTGGAGGGGACTCAGGCTGTCCAATGAGTTAGCAGCTACCAGAGCAGCCATGGGGAGCTGGACTGAAACCTAATTGAAGGGGCAGAAGATTAGTCAGCAGAGCCTGGATATGCACCCTCCATATATCCACTGCTGGGACCAGGAATGATTCTCGGTAATATTGCATTAAGAATTAATAACTGAAGAAAGGAATGAGACTGTTCTATTAATCCACTAAGAGGTGGTAGCCTTGTTTGGTATGTAGTTCTTCTTCTTATGAAGTGACAGAAGATCCTGCAGGGCTTCATACAAATGGCCTAAAAGGGAGTTGCATTGTCACGTTCACACTGAAACGTCTCAGCATCCTTTACGGTCACATGGGGACATGGAGACACTAACCACTGCCTCCTGCTGCCCACCCCCCCACCCCTACTCCCCCAGCACTCCCTATGCTAGTCAGCCCAGCCTGAAGGGAAGGAAGGGCTAGACTGCGTGGGAGGAGGTGAGCCCACAGCTGCAAGAACCCTTTCTCTTGTCTCCATGCCCTTGATAACTGCTGGGAATAACTGCAGTGTATCACAGTTGGCAGAAACTAAGGGACAGGAATTGACCTGAGGCAGAAAGTCAGAGACAGTCCATTTTGCTATACATGTTAGTTGTAGCTGTGCCAGGGAGTAGCTTCCAGATAATTCTACAGCCATTTCTTATTGTACAAAAGGCAGTAAATGTTGTTTGAGTGGGATATAACCGCTCATGGGTCAGAGGTCAGACATAATCTGCTTGCTGGTTTTATGAAATGGCCACACTGGAGTCAGCTTCATGCCCCCAGCCAAAGGGTTGAGACAATTATTCAGTCACCAGGTATTTATTTTCTGTGTTGCCGCAATCTTGTTCTTCATTTTGGTTACAGTGACCAGGCCCTGATGGCCTTTGGGTTCCTCTGTGGGACCAGACGACAAGTATTCCCAACAGTGTAAAACTGTACTTGATCTCCTGACCTAAACAGTGTGCCAACTGTGGCGTATTGCCCAGGGAATTTGGTTTTTGATTCTAACACTGTCCTTCTCAGGACTGGCTATCTTGCAGGTCAATTCAGTTACTTTGTCTTTACAGTTCATATTTTTGCCCCCATCTTCCTGCCCAGAGCTATGTGAGCAGAGACTTGGGCCCAGGCCATAGAGATCAGTCTTATGGGAAAATCACAAAGCTTAGCTTGGTCCCAGATTTTCTGAAAACAGAGATAAAAGTACACTCTTGTACCTTCTTTGGAAGAGAAGGAAGATACCCTTGTCTTGGAAGATTCTCTGGAATAGAGAACTAACACAGGCTTCTTAATCGTCACAGCAGAACAAAGGCATCTGGCCGAGTGTAGCCAATGGGTGTGGTGACCTTGAGAGGCTGTGCACTCATTCCAGCCACACTGCTGTAACTTCTGCCACTGTTCTATTGAAAATCCCTGGTGTCTGAGGCATTTTCTTTTCCACAGCCCCGGGGACCCCAGGGACATTATTAAGGGAAGGTTTAATTTTAGAAGTAGCCAAAATTCATTATGACTTAAGTATGACTAGAGAGTAGGTTACTTTTTGAAAAATGTCATATTTTTATTTCTTTCATGAAAAATAGGTAGTAACGTGCATTCCAAGACGGTGGCTCTTTTGTTTTTTTTTTTGGCAAAAAGAGAGTTAATGCCGGTAAAATGCATGACTGATTTATGCAGCTGATAAACTGGCTTTGATAATCGTTTTCAAAGAAGTCCCTGAAAAGTTCAAAAAAGGACAGCAGCACTGGAGTTACTCTAGGATCACTTACTTTGAATGGGATGGTGGAGGCAATTCAAATTCCACATGACCCAAACCAAACTCATCATCTCCACCATAAACTAGGCCTTTTCCCCTATCTCTGCTGCAGGGGGTGGCCCACTGCTCACCCAGTGTTCCAGACCACAAGTGACAGTCATCTTTGGCTCTTCCTATGCCCTCTCCTAGACAGCCACAGCTACTGTATCACTGCATCCTGTAAATTTTGCCACATAGTGATGCTTGAATTTATCTTCTTTTCTCCATCCAACTCTCACCACCCTCATTTAATCCAAGTCCTCAGCATCTCTCACCTGGTCTACTTAATGGTCCATAAATGGTCTGTCTGCATCCAACCCTGATCCTTCTCAAATGCACCTTTTAGGCTGCAGTGGTGTTCAAACACACAGATCTGATTATGTACTTTCTATATCTAAAACCCTTCGAAACCTCCACTACATGGACATCACTGGCATCATCCACAGGATAAAATCCAAGTTCCTTAAAAAGACGTAAGTGGCCCCTGGACATGGTCTGGCCTCCCCGTCCCCGCACACCATGCTGTTTCTCACTTCTGTCCCTTTGCTCATGCCGTGTCCTCTGCCTGCACTGCTCTTTCCCCTCCTCAAGTCTCACTGCATCTAACTACTCACCCTTTGAGAATCATTATATGCATCACCTCCTCCAGGAAGCCTTTCTTCCATGCTTCCATGTATATATCCAGATCTTTACAGGTCCCAAATTATATTATTATTATTTGTTTATGTATCTATCTTCCCCATTATACTATGATTTCCTTGAGGCTTGGGACTGTGACTTATTTTTGAATCATTAGTATCTAGCAGAAATCATTAGTTTTGGCACTAATAGATCTTAATTTGTTGAAGGAACAAATAAATATTTTATTTGAATCATTTTCATGCCTATATATCTGGAACTTGGTAGAGCTTGTATACAACAAAGTGCCTTATCACAGTTTTACACTTTATATACTCACCTTTCAAAAAAAACTAACATTTACTATTCATTTAGGATCTATTACCAGAATAGCACCATGCCTAACAGTGAACGTTATTTATCCTTGAGGGGGAGGCGGACAAGTCACATATAAATAAAACTGAATGAATTGGTGATTATAAATGTATTTAGTGACTGTTCATGCCATCATATATCTACATACAAAAATGAGTGACACAGACTCTGAGTGACACAGGAAATCTGAGACATGGACACCCATGCAGGCTAGAGTAGGGGAAAGCTTTGTGGAGGAAATGGGATATGAACTGCTGGGAATAAAGAAAGGCACTCCCAGGTGTGAGGAGGTTCCATCAAGGGCAAACGTGTAACATCAAGCATGAACACAGAGTGTCCAGGCAACAGAGGGACCACCTGTGAGGGCTAGCATTGGGAAGAGTGGAGACAAGGCTGGTGGGCAGGGTAGTGTCAGCCTGTGAAGTACCTTTAACAATGGGTTTAGGCATTGGGCTTCATCCTAGGGGTGGTGGGACTTTTGAGCAGGAGAGTGATGTGCCAGGAAGAAGGGTAATGTAAAAAGGAGAATTAGAGGGCTAAAGGGAGGGAATGAAGACATTTAGGAGCTTTTGCAACATTCTAGGTGATCTTTAATGAGGCTTTCATTGAGGCTGGTGGTGGAGGGAATGGGGAAGAGGGGCCACATAAAAGAGATACTGCAAAGGTAGATTCTCTAAGGTTTGGTAATTGATTGCCTGTCAGAGACAAAAGGGGAGATAAAGTAAAGCAATCACTCAGAAGAGGCAAGCACGGTTGACTGGTGTGTGTGTGTGTGTGTGTGTGTGTGTGTGTGTAAAATCATACTCAGAAGTAACAGGTATGGTCTCACTGTTACTGACATTCCACACCCATGCCTGGACCCCCCCCGCCCCCCAGTGGTATTTCAGGGCACAAAGTCCTGACTCCTCCATTAGAGAGGAAGGATGGAGTCACATTTGTCTTTGTATTCTTTGCCCAGAACACAGTGCCTGGCACGCAGTGCAAGCTTACTGTTCTTGTTTCTCCTTGTATCTCACTATCTCTTTCTCAGTATCCTTTGCTGGTTCTGCTTC